CACACACACACACACACACACACACACACATATATATATATATGTATGTATGTATACATACATACATATACATACATCTATATACATACATACATATACATACATATACATACATCTATACATATACATGTATGTATGTATGTATGTATGTACAAATATATGTATGTATATGTATATTTGTACATTTTGATTTTCACACTTCACAATAATTGATTAATTTACTGATTGGAAGTTCCTGATTTTTAATATTTTTAATAGCAAAAATAATTAAAAAAAAAGATCTAAAGAAGTCTAATTATTCATCCATGATGGCATGAAAATGATATTTAGAACAATTAACAAAGCACACGGCATTGCCGGCAACCATACATATTGGTGGCATAAATAAGATATAATAGGGGCATTTACATACATATCACACCATATATATATATATAGTAATATTGCATCAAAAGTATTATTATTATTATTAATTTTTAATACCCATTTTCATACACAAGTAAAATGTTCTAAATATAAATATCAAACTTAGGCAGTAGATATGTAAATAACTATGAAATGTGTGATGTGTAAGTAAATGTTCCAATAAAGTATTATTAATGTGTAATAGTTGTCGAGTATGAAAATGGAAATACTTCTATAATTTTCAACACTCCCCCTCAAGTTGGTGCGTGGATGTCACTTATTCCCAATTTGTTAAGACCATCATAAAAAAACTAGACGATATGGCCTTCTTGAGTAGGTCAGCAAGTTGCTCTTGAAACGAGACATGAGGTGTTTCGGTGATCATTGCTTCTAGTTTCTCCTTGATGAAATGTATATCAGCTTCTACATGTTTGGTTCGATCGTGCTGAATTAGGTTGTTGACAATATCAAAAAATCTCTTGTTATCATATTATAATTTCATTGGGTTATCATATTAAAATTTTTTTATCATTTCTAGTTTTTTTGGAAAATTTACATACATGCCACACAATTCATGTGGATTAATGTATGACCCCTAAAGTTTAATATCTACATTTATTCCGACTTGGTACTATAAAACTACACATGCATTTGATTTTTAAAAGGTGAATATAAATTGTATTTTTGATGTGATGTTAAAAATTTGAATGTTAAGAAAGTGAAAAAATATTACATCAGGACTCCGCACGTAGAGTTACGTGCGAAGTTCAATGAAATCACGCCACAGGAGAATCTTCCCGGTAACACAATTAACACAGGAAAATATTTCCCTCGCGTTATTCATGTGTTACTGTATGTTATTCATGTGCTATTATCTTCTGGGAATATTCCTGGTATTATAATAACACAATAACACATCAATAACGATTGAATAATACACAATAACACCTGAATAACACAGGAGGTATATTCTCCTGTGTTACCGGGTTGATTTTTTTTCTCACATTCACTTGTGTGGCGTGATTTTATTAAACTCTGCATGTAACTTTACGTGCAGAATCCTGATGTAATATTTTTTTTCTAAGAAATTAGATATTTAGCTGTTGGATATGTAAATAAATAAGAATTTTGTGGTATATATATAACTACTTTTTTCAACCAAACACATATGAATCATGCAACACTGACATTAATAAATTATTTTTTATATTTTTTTCATAATCAAATATCTATTAGTGATTCATTAAATTCAGAGGGGCCAATTGTTAAAAGATGGGGACATTTCACCTACTGTGAGCCACATATGATCATAGCTTGGACGGAACGTAGTCCCTGACAGCATACTGTTAATTTGGTTTTGGCATTTTCAAGCATTAATGATGCATCGGTAAGAATTAGTGGGGTATTTCATTTTTATTTGATTTATTTAAGTATGTAAGAAAATTATGTTCAAATAATATTTCTGTCTCTCATTTCAAAAAAAAAAAAAAAAAAAAAAAAAAAAAAAAAAAAAAGAAAAAAGAAAAAATAGGATAAATTAACTTTCTCATTTTAGGTCATTTGCATTGTTAATCTACTAATATTTATTAATGATTAAATTTGTATATATTAATAATATAAGAATCCATTTCAATCTATTAAAGTAGAGAGCTGTCAAAACGGTTTGTTGTTCGTGAACAATTTGTGTTCGGAAACTCGTGTTCGATTCGTTCTCTAAGTTAACGAGCCGTACACAAAAAAAATTTTATGTGCTCGATATATAAATAAACCAAACACACACACACATTCAGCTATATATATATATATATATATATGCATATATGTGGAAAGACCCAATATATACATAGAGAGAGAGAGAGAGAGCGCGATTTATGAATAATATTTTTTAAAAAATGAATTGACTACAAGGCTACGAGGACTTATAATCAATTAAATTTTTTATTTTCAAAAAGTAAAATAAAATATATTAAATTATATTTAAATTGTGATTAGGGTTGTCAAGACGACTCTTTCTTCCCGAGTAGAACGTGTGAGCCGAACACTAAGAATGATATTTTTTAACGAGTCAAACACGGACAGAGATAATTTTCAATGAGCTAAATAAGAGCTGAGTCTGGGCGCGCTCGTGTTCGTTTCATTTACACCCATAAGTACAGAGGTGTTATTTCAATTAATTTATCTTTATCAAATGTCCTGAATAAATTATTTGGATTTAAATGTCATGGCAAAAGTAGTTTTATATTTACGTGGAAATAATTTCTTAAACCCTTGAAGTTGTATATTAATAACTGTGTAAAATATTAACCCAAAAATAATATAAATTTGTTATGTCTTTTAACTCTATGATGCTTATAATAGCTTAATAATGTCTTAATTATGTATATTTAATCCTAGTTATAATTAAAAAATATTTAAATGTAAACCTTTCATGAGATGAAGGTTAAAATAGAACTCAATTACGCGAGCGATTATTACGTGCAGAGAGCGCATGCAAAACTGCATGCGCTCCTAATAATTAGACCAATTACGCATGCCCCTCCTCTTTATTTAGAATTTATGTTATCCTATATAACAATTTTTCGTAAGCCAATTTTCGAGGAGAAGCTTAAGATCAAAATCTCATATGTGGCTCATAATGTGAATTCCATTATATAAATTCCTAACTTTATGTTTTGAATTAAATCTTGTCAATCTTTTTTTTTATTATTTAGGGTTGTTATGTTAAAAGTAGTTGGAATTTAGTAGTATTCTAAGTGTAATAATTTTATAATTAAGATTTGCCACATATAACTGTCTGTTTGTTGGCTTCCACAATATAGAACTTCTCAGATTGGGGATTTGAATCCCCTCTGACACAATTGATCTTAAGAAGATTGTACTCGAGTTGTTATACACATTAGAGGTGGTACGAGACTCGTATAATAGCCTCTGGCCATTCCTTTTAAAAAAAAATTATAATTAAGATGATTATTTTATGTCGGTTCGCAGTCACCACGAAAAAATGAGAAATTAAAATAAAAACTAACCAATGTGAGAGGACATCAACTAATTGAGCGGGACAAAAATAGGATTGATGATGTGTGGAGGAGAAGGGACTGCGATGAGAACTTGTTAGGTTAGGCATTTGACAACATCAACAACAATTGATAAAGATATCCTGGTAGGAGCTCATTGGGACATGCATCGATGAGATCAATAATGCGTTAAGGAGAAGAAGATATCACGATAATAGCCTGTTAAGACAGGGCTCCAAAGAGACTATCATAATGTAAAAATGGAGAGTTCATTCGTGAAACATGCTACGATGGGGTGTGAAGGTCAGGAGTTGACAGTTTGCCCCTCAAAAAATTTTAAATGAAGTTAAAAATATCAAATTAGAATTAAATGATAAGTTTCAAATTGCACCAAAAAAAACATTTTTAATTACTTTTCAATTAATTAATTAATTATGTACAATTTGAAACCCCAATTTTCAAATACAATACTCTAAAAATAATTCAAATCAAACAAGCCCTTCATTTTCAACTTGTAACCCAGAATCATCAAAACCCTGGTCAGATTTTTCCACGTGGGAAATTACGAGCCTGAATACCTCCATCCGATCAGATTCCATTCCTACAAAATATCTCGCTGAAAACACGAAAGTTTTGAATGGAAGCCCAAAAAAAAATTATAATAATTGCAGATCCATTCACCAAACAGCGGCTACCTGAAGAATCTGCCATTTTTTATCGCAAACGCAAAGCCAGATCTTCTGCTGCCAATCAACTGCAGTTCTTCCACGCGAAGACGAGGTCAACGGTTTTCTCCTTCCTTGCAGGCGATTTCTTCTTCTTCCCCTGTTTCTTCTTCTTCTGCTGCTACTACTGCTACCGCTCCTCTTCCTCCACCGCAATCTCTCATGTAAGCTCCGAAGCCTAGAAATTTCACATCAAACACGAAAAGTTTTGATTTTTACTGGTAAATATTAATTTTTCTTTCAAAAGCGAAAAGAAAAGAAAAACACATTTACTGGTAAAAAGTGTGTAATAGTTGTCTTCTCCTGTCTGGACTGTGATCCCCCCTGTTTTTCCCCGCATCGCTACTTCTTCCTCCCTGAAAATCTAATCCAAACTCTGAAGAGCAGAAATTTTACATCAAGCGCGGCAAGGCGAAGTTTTTACAGAGGCATTTGTTAGCAAAACGATGTTTTTCCGGTAATTGTCCTCCCATGTTTGTTCTGTGATCTCATGGTTTTGTCCTACTTCTTGTCGTCGTCTTCTTCTTCTTCTGGTGAATCTTTTATGGACTCTTCTTCCTTCTCCATATCCACCTCAGCTCCGGCCACGGACTCCCATCCAGAAATCTGTCCGCCCTCCCCCACCACCCCACTCCTACCCCCCCCCCTCCTCACCCCCTCTTACATCAAAAACTTCTTTTTTCCTCTTCTCCATACTTCTCCTCATCACCTCCATCACTCTCGCTTCCACCTTCGCCTTAGTTTTCCCTTTCTTCACTTCTTCCTCTTCCCACTCCCCTACAGCCACTACCAGTGCATCCTCCATTTTCACCCGCCGCCTCTCCTCCCACCTCTCTCGCCCCACTGTCATCCTCATCTCTTCCGACGGCTTCCGCTACGGCTACCATTTCAAATCCAACTTGCCCAACATCCACCGCCTAATCATTAATGGCACCGAAGCTGTTCCCGGTCTAATCCCCGTCTTCCCCTCCCTTACTTTCCCCAACCACTACTCCATCGTCACTGGTCTCTACCCATCTTTCCATGGCATCATCAACAACCACTTCATCGACCCAAGTTCTGGTGAAAGCTTTACAATGAATAGCCATGAACCCAAATGGTGGCTCGGGGAGCCGCTCTGGGAAACCGTCGTCAACCATGGCTTACCCGCCGCTACATACTTCTGGCCTGGTTCCGAGGTAGTCAAAGGCTCCTGGCATTGCCCTCCAGATTTCTGCAAAAAATATGATGGCTCTGTTCCATTTGAGCAGAGAGTTGATACTGTTTTAAATTACTTCGATCTTCCTAAAAATCAAATCCCTGCGTTCATTACCCTCTACTTTGAAGATCCAGATCACCAGGGACATCAGTTTGGCCCAGATGATCCGGAAATCACATCCGCTGTTATCAGAATTGATGGTATGATCGGTAGATTAATCCATGGATTGGAGAAAAGAGGAGTTTTTGAAGATGTCAGCGTAATTCTCCTTGGTGATCATGGCATGGTTGGAAATTGTGATAAAAAAACAATTTTTTTAGAAGATCTATCTCCATGGATCAAAATACCGCCTGATTGGATTCAATCCAATTCACCCTTGATCACCATTAGGCCTCCTCCAACTGTTTCTCCAGCTGAAGTTGTAAGAAAGATGAATGAAGCTTTGAGCTCAGGAAAAGTGGAGAATGGGAACAAGCTTAAGATGTTTCTGAAGGAAGATTTGCCAAAACGTCTCCATTACTCTGAAAACTATAGGATTCCTCCCATAGTTGGATTACTTGAAGAGAGCTACATGGTGGAGAACACGAGATCGAAGAAGAAGGAATGCGGAGGATCGCATGGATATGATAACTTGTTCTTTTCGATGAGGACAATTTTTGTAGCTCATGGACCGCAGTTTCAGAGGGGAAGAAAAGTTCCATCTTTTGAAAATGTTGAGATTTATAATGTGATTACTGAGATTCTTGGGCTGAAGGGAGCTGAAAATAATGGCTCAGCTCTATTCCCGAGCTTTATTCTTTTGCCTAGAGATTGACTTTGGGTGGATTAAGTATGTATTATTGTATTATTTCCAAGCTTTATTTCCAATTTGACTTTTTTATGGTATGTATTATTGTTGGTGTTTTTCGTTGGAATAATTCTACTTCTTCATGAAAATTGGCTTTTTTAACTTTTTTTTTTTTTCTGTTTTTTCTTTCTGAATTTCAAACATCATGACCGATTTTACTAATGAAACTTATAAGCACATTTTACAGTGGTGATGAGGTTGACAATATGGCGAGTGAAATGGTGATGTGGTTGCGGTGCTCAACAGGTGGTTAAAATTAGGGTTATGAATTTAGCTCTCAGATTATTAATAGTCGGAAAATGGATTCGACTTTGGCTCGGATCGAGATCGGATCAATATAACGGATCAAAATTACAAGCCAAAATTTTGAAACGATTTTTTTCCCATCAATCCCGACTTAAAATCGGATTGTTAACGGCCCTAGTTAAAATGTTTGGTCAAATGCTGTCAATAGGCTAGGTTAAGGAAAGAGAATGGCTATCCTAGTTCAATGATTACCCTTAAACAAAGGCCAAAACATAGAATTTACTCAATCAGCCATACCAATATGACTTCTATCGCAAAACATCATACATTTATTATTATTATTTTCTATTTGTACGATATTATTTCTATCTCCAAAAAGCCAATTTTTTTTTCCAAATTTGCTTTTTAAATGAATTTTTCTTCTCATAAATTTGTTACAACATCCTAATCCTAATTTAAAGAAGAATTGTTCCCCCCCCCCCCCCCCCTAGATGATGCACAATGAATAAATAAAATCATTTAATAATATGTTTGTTTGTAAAAAATTTCAAATGTTATGTCTGTCGCCCTACATAGATGCGTTTTTACACACTTAATATTTTTCCTGATAAAAAAAATACTTAAAAAATAAAACTTCATCTAGTTAATTATATAATAATAAGATATTGAGCATGAACATGATCAACTAAAGAGAAGTAATATAGTATTATATTATAACATTTGTAAATATTGTATAAAAATAAAATTTTAGACACTATAATAAATTTAATATTGTTTATTATGGTTGAGTTTAAAAACTTCATTTGCAAACTGATGATCCTTGCATTTTAATGGCAAGTGTTCAGTTCCATGGATTGAGTATTTAAATTCATCATGGACTCATTAATCACATATCATTTATTTTATATATATATATATATATATATATATACATACATACATACATACATACATATAGGAATGAATAAAGGTAGATATTTATTTATATGGGATGACAATTTGGTCATTCGCCCCTTCTGAAAAGTCACTTTGTCCTTCTCCCATATTGGGCCTTGAGGGTAGTATGTACTCTCTCAAAAAAGAGGTTGGTTCCGCCCTTATGTGTGTATGTGGATATTATGTTCACAACAATAAATCTCAACCACTTCCAAAAAAACAAAAATCAATGTGTTATTGAACATTTTTAAAATAAAAGAAGGCTAAGACTTTAATTTAAACAACTGTGAAGAGAGAAAAGAATAAATGGGAAAACCTAGTAAATTTTTTCTTTCTCAACCATGCTGCAAATCTTGATACTAAAGGACAAATTCCCTAGTTGTTGCTTGCGATTGGCTACGCTCAACAACCCTCTCAAATCATGTTCATGAGTTTGCTTATGGTCTTACCCGACTCAAAATTATTTGACTCGAACCAAACCAAGCCCAAATATTAAACAAGTCAGCAATTTCACACATTCAATCAGAAGTCACAATATTATACTTGTGAATTTATGTTGATGTGACTTCCTAACATTCAAACGTACAATGTCCAAAGATAATGGTTCCCTCCCTCTGACTACCTTACGACTCATTTGGTTGTTTGCCTTAAGAGCCATGTTATTCACTCAATTGGTGGTTTGTCTTGATTAAAAGGCACGAGAGGTGGCAATTAATGATATGTGTGGGTTTTTTTTTTCGTGTTATTATATCATTGGCTTTTCTTATAAGAAATTATTATGTCGATTGTGTGGCATCGTATCTATGCAATAATGTAAATATTTCAAAAAATTACGTATGAAATAAAAACTATTTACATGATCTAAAGCTTTATAAAAAAATGGACATAGACACATGCAATTATTATAAAAATGATGGATGGATTCCAATTCTAACACATCATGACGTGTGAATTTTTGTAAGTATATTTTTTCTTGTTGAATATCCTAAAAATGTGTTTTCCAATAAAACCAAAGCGCCATTTAGGATTATTTATTATTGTTGAATATTGATTTGTTTATGAATCATGCCAAAGAATAAAACATAAGAAATGGGAGAGAGAAAAAGAGAGGAGTGAACAATAATGAACAGTAATATGTCGTGTCGATTGTCTGTATTATAATAAAATGATCTCTCAATTTATAGGAGAATTTGTACAATATAATGACATTATATTTCTATCCCTACGTTAATGGGGTTGTACAATATATTATAGTTATCTTACATGAATGAGTTAATCGCTCAGTTGCTCTTTGGCTCAATTGGCAGAGCTTGATTAGCTTCGGGTTAGCATGATTGATTCGATCGGGTAGGCTTTGTCAATCGGCTGATATAGTTTGCATATCTCTAGACTAGATCCCAGGATTATGAGCACCTGACAAGAGCGAGACTAAACTATCAGGTAGTGGGTGGTTCAATGTAACCTTATAGGTGCTCGTTCCTCATCAAGTAGAGCTTGCGGGATGACTATAAGACTATGCCATATTATTAATTTCGATCTCTAATGAGGAGCTTCAGTGAAGTCCGAAGAATGGTTGGTGATATTGAGGAACTCGGTCTTTCTTCGAGTCTGATCTACCGTAAGGTAGGTTGTTGCCTTTGGTTGACTTTCTTGTGTGGTTGGCTTGTATGCTTATATGTCTTGTTTAATATTATTGGTTTAGATTCAGATCAATCGGTCACCATTTTTTGCATCAATTTTTTATGTCACAAATGTTTGGACGCTTTTTGAATGTCATGGGAGTATATAACATGCATACATAACCTCTTGTAGCTTAAGGACCATATAAAGCCCCCCCACCCCCTCCCGCACGTGCGCATTTTGGGGAAGATCAAAGTTTCGTGTGCCGCACCCGCACGGTGATTTGACGTGCCCACTGACATTGAAGTTCCTGATGTAATGCCTTTAAAAATTCTTATCTTTAAAGTTATGAAACTATATTTTAGTTATATTTGATCTCCCATAGTTAATGGATCTTTAATACCCCTCCTCGGACGCTTCCAACAAAAGTTAGGGTTTTCGGGGCCAAACTAGTGCCTAGGAGCCAGCCCAGGGCGCTTAGGCAACAATAACAGCCCCATGGGCCTCCATAGAAAGTAGGTGATGCCCCTTGAGAAAGTAGGGTTCATGCCCGACGGTTAGGTGCCTAAAACAACCTTGAATAGCTTCAAAAAACCGAGAGGACATAAAGTAGGCGCTAGGGACTCGGTGCTTAGACTCCAAACCCAACGACTAGGTGTTAGGTAATTTTCTACTTCCATTTTTTTCTTGAGATTTTCACCCTTTTGACCCCGGACCATACCCATAAGTAGCCGAAAATGCTGGTTTCTCTTGGATATAGTGAAGATGTGTATGGAGGAAAGGAAAAGGTGATGGATGGAACCCTTTTGGACCTTTTATGGAAGGTTATAGAAGAGAGTTGAATGCCATTCTAGGAAAAAAGAGGGGGAAAGCATGTTTCTTCACCAGTAGGGTTGTCAAAAAGACTCGTTCACGAACAGCTTGTGTTCAGTTTATTAAGAAGCTTACGTTCAATTTTTTCGCTAAGTTAACAAGCCGAACATGAACACATTTTTGTTTGCTCAATATATAAATTAGCCCAACTTGAACAAAAAATTATTTGTTCGTGTTCGGCTCATTTTGACTCGAAATATTACTCATAAATTATATATATATATATATATATATATATA